AAGTTGTCTTAACAAAGCAAAAATAGGAAAAAAAAGAGGGCTAGATATAAAACAAAAGAGGAAAAGAGTTAAAAAAAAATTCAAAGTTCCTCTGTACTATTTTACAAATAATTTAGGCTGCTCCAAGAAATAAATCCTGGAATACAATTTATAGACGTTAATAAATTGAAATTTATTATCTGCAACAAACATGATATAACAGATGTATTTAAAAGATATTCTATCGGAGATTTCTTTCTTCCTGCAATCTTTTGTGCTCTCTTTTATCATTTAAGACACTTTTATTAATGGTATAGTTGAGCATTTTTGCATTCTACACTATGGTAGTGGTTTTGAGATACATTTTATCATGTTTATACCTTACCATACCTCATTTAGATGTGCACTAAAAACAAATCATGCAAGAAATTCTGAAAGTGTATTTTAAATGCATTTAAGTATTTATTAGCAATTGTTTGCACACATGTATTTACCTTGTAATTAAACCACAAATGCTTTCAATGGTGTGATCATGAATGTGAATATGCCTTAATACTTAAGCGTCTATTAATTAATATCTTCTTTTATCACTGAATTTTTGACAAAGAACTTTTAAAAATCTCATATGCATAAGGAGACAAGTTAAATATGGCTTTTGTTTGATGTTGTTCTTTTTGGGGGTTTTTTTGCCTGTGAAATATCTAAATAATTTTTTCAATTTTTTTTTCATAATTTTTCCTTGACTCATAATAAACTAGAAGGTCTTTTTTTTTTCTTTCAAAGAGAGATTGCTAATTTTATTTACTTTTCTTTTCTTTCACTTTCTATATACTTTAGAGACTACAGTCATGTTTAGTTTCAATTTGAGACGCACATAATCATAATTCTATAGTCTTCCATAGTCATTTTTTATTGAAACATTAAAATTTGTATCAGAGTACATATTAGCAAACCTAAAATTCTTTTTTTTGTGCATATATTTCTTAAAATAGAACAAGATTAAACTGTAATGAAAACAATAACAAATTTAAGGAAAATCATTTCAACAAAATGTCTAATTAATAAAATCAATATGGCAGGAATGCAGATTTTTGTTATGCATTTATATATAAAAAAAAAAATCTGCTTCTGCAACAAGATCATTAAATATTTGTGAAATTCCATTCTTCAAAGTTGCCAAAAATAACCGGTTTCACGCACAATAAAACGTAAATCCTTTCTGGAACTTTCCAGGTATTTTTGTGTACCATTTAAATACTTTATAATTACTAGAATCCAGTTCTATATTAAGGATAAGCCCCCATGTGGAGAGTTTTCACCATGAAATCATCAGATTAATGGGTTAAGTGATATGATATTTTTCTTTGAGAAGTACCTATCTACCGAACCAGGGATTATACAATTTTCTTTATTACAGATACACCATCTTAATGCTTCCCTTTTAACACCAACTGTTGACGTCATATGCTGAAACTTCACCATCACCTGATAAGCCCTGTAATGGGCCATTATTTTAAAAAAAACATCCCAGTACAATAGATAACTATCATTGCAAGTTCGTTTTAGCCTTATTTTCATAGATATTGCATTTTATGACCCCCCCCCCCCCCCAATATGAATTCAAAGAATATTTAGGCAAAGACGCTAAAAATGAACCACTGTCAGAACGCAAGCTACAGAAGTACCTGATTTGTTTAACCCTTACAACGCTTAATGTCTTAAATGGACTTGTCCATTTTAATTCTGGACAAAATCATTCATTTTTTAGGGGAAAATTTCAAAATATGTACTGAATAAATAGCAAACAGTTCAAACCATGATCAATTTGTATCTGATTTTGGTCTGGTTGCATCAGGGAAGATTTTTCTAGAAATAAAGTCATCATAACTATTGAAAGTCAGTATAATTAATGAACAGAATTGCTTCAAATAACACTTGTTATCAAACTGAAGATAATGATTTGCATGGCGTCACGAAATTTTGCCTTATCTATTAGTTACAGGGTCATTCAAGACTAAAATAATAAGACTAAGAATAAAATATCTAATTTTATGATTATCAAAAATATTAACATTCAATTTAACATTATCACAGCAATAGGACATTAAAAAAAACTTTGGTATTACATCTTTATTGTTCTGTTACCATGGAAACAGAAAACATTAACAGCACATTATTTTTGTAATTTAATAGATAACAAGTTGTTTAAACATAAGCACTTAACATTACCAGATAAAACCGAAAGTAAATAGCCTTTGCACCCAGTATACAGCATGGCTTGCCTGTAAATCTGTGCAGTCTGACCATTGCTGTAGGTGGCTCAATTTTTGTATTTGTATATTAAAATCCCTTAATCTTCAAATGGACTGTTCCAAATTCAAAGCAGGACAAATCCATTACACAAATTCAGCATATTTAGGGTTAGGAATAAAAATCTAAATAACAATTGGATGTCCACAGCAAAATCATAAATGGTTTTGTCCAAAATTTTTTACAGATGGGTCAGTTCATAGACATTTTTATCGTGGAACAGGTTAAACAATATTTTTCTCCCTCGTAACTTATCCGGTATGTAACAGTTTTTTCCTGGCATCTTTTTTTATTATTGACATTTACACGTGATAAAATCAGTATACATGAATGCTGATAATCATCAAGAACATATTCCCAATCACTTTCCACTCAACAGATAAAATATGCTATCTTACAATTTACCCATATGAATAGATTTATTTCACTTTTATGAGATAATATTTCAGGTAAAAATGTGGAAAAAAAAACCCACAAATCAGCTAAGAATAATAAAAGGTGTCTGAGTGTGAGAAGAGTGTTAGGTATATTAAATATCAACTAATGATAATTCCAGGGATAGAACAAATATTTCATGCATGATATGCGTATATTATGTAACCATATCTGTTTTATTGATTCAGAAATATGTATAAATATGTTTTATATGAGTTTAGAGAGTTCTTCATAAATACTGATAATTCTGTATTTCATTTAACTTGCCAAGATTTTTTTTAACATGATTATAATAGCATTTTAAATTGATATTTGTTTGTTGATTTCTTTGAAATGGTCAACGTACGCTGGTCAATACAAACTGGTATATCAACCCCATCTGTTCATACTAAATTCCTTTTTTTTCATGATTTTAGAGTCATTCATAAAATACTTAGTTTTAACTTTAAATTTTTTTCTTTGTATATAAGTATGCTGCATTTGAATATATTTCTTTCACTACCAGTATAAGAAGGGTGTCTTAGAAAACTATATATAAAAAAATATTAAATACTGTACCACCTGTCAAGAGAGACCTGTCTGGACAAGAAAGGTAAATTTGGTATTTGTTGACAGGTGGTCTTTTAAAACAAGTGATTTTTTTCATTTGGTAAAAGCTCAAGCATGGGCAGAAAAGAGTTGCAATTATATGACAGGTATTAATTAAGTTTTCTATGTAATGAGTTGTTTTTTGTTTGTTTCTTTACTGTATTGTGTAAAGTAAGACTTGAGTGAACCCAAACTTGAGTTAAACCTCTAAGATATGTAAGTTATGTAGGCTGACCAACCTGTTACATTTTATAATCTACTGGGAGTGCTGGTTCTATTAGCCTTCAAGACTGTAATAACCTCAAATTATCTCATATGTATCTTCTATCTACTGACCACATGTCCAGAGTAATTAACTCAATTATTTCCCTGTATTTATCAAAAATTATCCTACATGTATAAAACCTGCAGTTGAAGGGGTCAAATTTTATCTGATCTCTTATTTATTAATGAATTTTCTATATTTCATCTGCTCATAATAAGTAACAAAATATACATTATTATTCACTTTCAAATATGGAAGCATAAATTCTTTGATCCAAAAAAAAATTAAAAATATAACAACCTCAGAAGATTAATAAATCTATGTTATATTTTAGGAGTAATTTAATTATTGATATAAAATCTTATTATAATTAATTTTCGTAATACAAAATAAAACTGATTCGTACCATATGTTAAATAACTAGCAAATTAAGTATTGCATAACAGGCAATTGGTATAAGGGAAGTAACTCAATAATTGTTTCAAGGGAAGCAACTATTACACATTCTTTTCAATTAATAAAACAGAGTTTCCCCCCTTGAAAATTATAAAGTCCTGCATAGTAAAACTTCAAAGCAATTTTGCTTAAATAGCCATGCTTTTCTATTGAAGGTTGTATAGATGATCCATGCAACAATGAATATTGAAGGAACATGTCAATAGCAAATTTAATACATAGGTTTTTCAAATGAGACTTGAGTTTTGTTGATTTAGGGCTGGACAATTTGCAACATGAACAATTATTTGGTACATTGGTAAGCCGAGTTTTCTTTTATGAGGAAGTTGGGATATCATTTCGCAGTGTGTAGAAGGTCAAAAACTTGGAAGAGAGAAAAAACTGGAGCATTCTCTGAAAAATCTGGATTTTGAGGTAACCCAAAGGAAACTTTATAAACTTTACAGAACATAACGGTTAAAACTGGGTGGATAATTTTGCTTACTGTTCCATAAAATGTAATAGCAGTGTCAGACTGTAATAAAATAATGAAATTTAAAGCACTACTAACAATAAATAACTGGATGGCAAAGAAAAATAAAACAGGCTAGATTATACTGAAATATTGCTGACTTCTCAAAATTTCTGACAAACATGCTTTTTGTTTTGTTGCAAGCCACTATGACTATTCGATCATATAGCTACATTTCAGCTTCAATGGTGACATAAGACTCTCAAGTAAGAAGCAAGTTGATTTATAATTTAATATAGTTTATACATACAGTTACATGTAAGCCTATTGTAGAAACTGATTGCAGAATATATTCTAAAAGCTAAAGAATCTAGTCTTCACTCAAAGCACAAACAGATATATAAAAGACATGTTGCACAGTTATTTTTATAAAGAGGGTTTTAACGCAACACTATTGTAACTCAATAAGAGATAAAAGTGCTGCGACAAACCCTCGTTACATCTCCACAAACTTACCTGTATGATGTATTCACCCTCGGGGATGCTCTGTCCACCAAACTTGATGCTGATACTATAGTCACCAGGGTTTGCTGGTGTGAACAAGATGGCGAATGTACCGTCGGTATTTTCAACGATGTCAATATCGATCTCGGCACCTGTTGGACTTCGGATGCGGCAAGTCACCTTACCAGTGCCTGCCTGGGAGGCATCAACAGTGATTGAAGTCTCTTTCTCAACTGGTATTGTCTGTTGTAGTCCATCTAAATATGACAATAATATATTTTGTACAGTATTCACCAATAAGACATTTCATTGTCTACTGAGAAAATTTAGTTGTGACACAGGAAAAATACTAGATACACCTGCATAATACACATATTTTCATCCTCTGACAAACTTTATATGTGTAAATGCATTGAATAAGAAACATTCCTAAACTCAATTTTCTCTCAGTAAAACTGGATAGAATTCAAATTTCCACAAATAAAAAATTAATATCCTACCTGTAATTTTGCATTTGGAGGCATCACCAGTTGGTATGGCAGTGGTGCGAAATGGAGCTTCTTTGATTGGTTCACCATTGAATGTGATACTGATATTGTATGGACCACAGTCTTCTGGTGTGTACTGTACAGTATAAGTTCCATCTTTGTTGTCTTGGATCATTGGACGAATGAATGAACCATCGGGTCTCTGTTACAATACAATAGTTTAATTATGATATAATAATGATAATTATATGTCTAATTAACGCAATTTTTCATTTCAGTAAGTGTTAAAATCATGACCAGCTTATGTTACTACAAGGGATAGATTACTTTTGTTTGTGTATGTATTGTGCCTGGACCAGCTGAACATTGCTTTTATATGTAAGAATTCATCCTATTTTGTGAGGCTGGAAGTTTGAGATGTCACAACAATGTACTAGGTCATTAGGTAATGAATATGCTGACTGACCTTGCTCTATTCTTACGGCATCAGTTTGTTAAAACCTTTGCTCCGACTTAATGACTTAAAACAATTATAATACTATGTATAAGGAATAATTAATAAATTTATAATCATGATACTTTTGGTTTTTTTAGGGATTTTTTTAATTACCTGAATAACCACGTCAATATCGCCTGGTACACCTGCTTGACGAGTGTCAATTGTGAATTGTTCTGGTAAACTGGCAAGGACTGTTGGTTTACAGCCATCTTGGACAAATACCTTGTCAGCTGGTGAGCCTGGCTGTACTTGCATTTTGAATGGACTGTAATGTATATTGTTCATATCATTACTTGTTTCTATTAGCAAAAAAGCAGACTTCTCAGCTTTATTTGAACTGGCATAGAATTGGCAGTTTGAAAGATTAAAATTTGAAAATGCTTAAATTAAGTAGCAAAAAATACATTGTGGCATCTTGTTAGATTGCATGGATGATAAATTTTTGTCTGACAATTATAGCAACATGCACGTAAAGATCACTGAATTTGATTCAAAAAGACTTCTGCCAGAAGGAATACTTGCTAGACGTGTATTGTGTAAAACCACATCATTGGATGTATCAGTCTACAAGAAAGTCAAAGCCTCCTTGTTATACTTTTTTATCAATCTGCTCTTAATCAGCCTCCTTCTCTGCTGTTATGAAAAGTCTTGGGCTAATGCAACTGTTAGCATTGAACAAAATTTAATATATCAACAAACTGAACTTGGATAATAATGATAAAGTTTCATACCTGTTTGGCACCTGTTGGTTGGCATATGTAACATCTACCTGGCATTTTCCCTCATCCACTGGGTAATAAGTACATTCGTACTTGCCTTCACTTACAGGTATGATATCAGCTGGCTGTTTCTGGCCTGAATTACACAATGGCATTGTTTCAAAATCTAGTATACAATAGTTATTTAAAATTATAATAATACTTTTAACATCATAAAGTAATTTTTAGTATAACTGCCGGTTGCTTTTTATAGGTGAAACAAGTCAGTAAAACAAGGAATTTTTATACAGTAAAACCAAGGTCAAAAACAATTTTTTTTAAATAAAGATCATTACATAAAATTCCAATAATGGCCATCATCTAAGTTTCCATTTCCTTCAATCTAAGTGCCAATTTTCTTTTTTTGTGAAAAGACACACTGTTAACTCAATTTGTCTTGATTGGTCTTTAAAGACAGGTTTGATTGTATTTAAAGGCTGATTGAACATGAATTCTACTCTTTCAACAAAAGCACCATTGTGAAAAATACATTATAGCTTGAAAACATATCATGTTTTAAGAAGTCAATATTTATATTACAATATTAATGATGGTGTATTTTACCTGTTTGATCTGTGTATGTAACATCAAGTGGAGCTTGTCCAGCGTCGGTGGCATCCACGGTAAAGGTAGCTGGCTTGCCGGCAAACACCTCATTGGAGTCAAGGCCGGGACCATAGCAGCGCACCTTGTTGGGGTTGACAAGATCTGTGATTCCAACATGGAACGGAGAACCTGGACACCAACGGAGAATTGAAGGAAATTTAGAACCACATTTACAACATGTACAGCTTGGATAACACTTTGGCATTTTTACTTCTTTACATCAAAGAAAAATACAAGGTATGTACGCAACAGTTTCATCTACTGGTAATACACTAGCTTTAAGCTGTATTCATACAGGTTTCTTCATATTTTTTTCTTATATCCACAAAATTCTCTTGATATTTAAAAAATTAATATTTCAGACTTAACATTTCTATAATGTATATTCCACCTTTATTCCAAATGTTCTTAAAAACAATTACCTTATTTTCCAAGTAAGGTCAAGGTCAAAAATATCACTTCTTTATAATATCCTATTACACAGTAAAAATCTATCTTTTATTTTTATACCATAAGGTATACTACACCTTAATTACAGTAAGAATATGAGTCCATAGCAAAATAAAATGTTGCAAAACTGGGGACAAAAATGACTTATTTATTTGGTATAGTATCATATTTTAAGTGCACCATCTTAAGAGAAGATATACATTTGACAAATTTATTCAACTATAAAATCTGACACCCTGGTAAATTAATTGTTCTTTGTCATAATAAACAGTTTGTCTCCCCCACCATATAGTTAGATGTCTCCTTAAAATAAATGACACTTCTTCTAGTTTTTATAACCTGTAATTTTTATATCACATTACAAAGAAAATAACACAAATTATAATAATATTTGTTCTTTTTCAGTGAAGATATAAAAACTAAAAACATCTAGTTATGTAGATATTACAATTCTTATATCTGACCTTGTATTTAAGAAATAGTTACCCTTAAGGGCAATTTTGTAATGAACAATTTACTGTCTCAAATTTATATGGCAACGAGTGAGGTATTGAACACACTGATAGAATGGTAAGATTAGTGTACAATATAGAAAAAAAGATATATTAAAAGGTAATTGTCATCACCATATGGATTACAAATAAGTCGTTAAAACAAAGTTTAGAAGTCATTCTTTCAAACAATTTCTTTAACCCACTACATTTCAATGTATAACCATGGTTTCATCCAGCTTTGAATATACAACAATTACTGGTCCTTGGTTCATTTAAAGAATTATAAGAAACAGCCAATGGTTTAAGTCTTACTCTGTTTAGACACCACACAGGTGCATAGAGCCCAGGCTCAATACAGGTGGCATACAGAAGTCATATAATTACCTGCTTAGCTGTATGATGGGTTATTCTGTGTGTTACAATTGTTTGAATGAGGGTAAGTCTTACAATCATATTGTTACAGGTATATATATATTTATATTAACATAGTTTCTGTCCTTTAAATAGGAATATCTTAATTTTATACACATATGTTTGTTTTGGTTTTATCTGAGGTATATCCTAACAGGTAGACATATTATTATAAATAGTTTTAAAATTACAGGAACACTCACCTGGAATATGTTGATCAGCAAATTTGACGGTGATGTCATAATCTCCTTTCTTAACGGGTACATACTCGACCTCACAGGTACCATCTCTGTTGTCTTTACAGTTGATCTGAGTCTCGGCTGGACCATCAATAGCCAGAGCAAGACCACCCTGTCCAGCTCCCTTCACATCTACAGTAAACACCTGCTTGTTGTCTGTGTTTCCTCCCTCGAGACCTGGACCGTAAGCCTTGACGCGGTTCGCGTCACATCCGGGTGTGGCATTGACATTGATTGGAGACTGTGGGATTGGGATGTTCTCATATGTAACATCGATGGTGTTAGGACCTGAAAACAATATCAACATTTATACTTTAGTTTTAAACCCTTAAAACATATATATTTGTATATAATTTTTAACAACAAAAAAAATTAATTCCAATGAAAAATGAACAGTAACCCTGTCAACAGAAATGGTTCAAAAACATTTAAATTACTTAATAATTCATTTTTTTACATTTTCTTTCCACTGAATCTTTATCATTAACTAATCAAAAACTGTCTGTCTTTGAAAAAGAAATTGTCTGTGTTAGGTCAAACAGAAGTTCTTAATAGTTCAGTAACAATATACAGTCAAATGTGTTACTGTGTATTAAGCAAACATGGTCACATAAGACAAAAGTCGCTTAATACACATGGTCGCATGGACAAGTCCGACTGTATTGAAAAGCAGCAATTTATTTTATAAAAAGAGTTCAACATACCTTGTTCGTATGGTGTGTAAAGAACATCATAGGTTCCGTCGTTGTTGTTTTTAACAAGACTCTCGGTTCTTTGACCGCTGGGGCTGGTGACGATGGCGCGCACTTTACCATCCCCTGTTGGTGCCACAGATTTGGCATCAACAGTGAATCCAGTTGGTGAGTCAAGGAACACGCCTGTATAAAACACAAAATATACTATCAGGAATTTACGATCACAACATAATTATTATTTATAAAAGCTCAAGGGAAGACTGGATGCTAACTATCAGATTTTCCATTTATTTATCTATTGTTATTATCTTACTTACAGAATTAATTTTTACATATAATTTTATTACATTTTATCATCATGTACTTTCAACAAGAAAGCTAAATGATACCACAAGTAAATACACTACACATACTGTCACTGTTACAGGAAATACTGTATTTCTATTATTAACAATGACTATTTCAAATTAAACCTTGAACTCTTTAATTAAACATATTTTTATATTAGAGAAAGTCTTCAAATAGTATCATTATACAAAACAAAAACACTGTAAATGTACCAAAATAGCTCTATAAATACATGTAAATAATTATATAAACCTTAATCATGAATACAGACAAATAATTTCTGGTTTCATTAACAGAACTTTAATTAACAGTTTTCTCCGGTTTTGCTTTTGATGCCCTAACTTATCATAAAAAAACATAAATTTTTCGTTTTCATTTTCATTAAAAACTAGAACTCCGCGAGTCGGATGTGTCGCCTTGGGAACAATGTAGTTTAGGAGAAATGGCCAGGACAAAAATGAAATTAGAAAATCAACAAAGGGCAATAACTCAAAAAATAAGAAATGCAGAGCAGCAGTTTCTGTGCACTGCACTTCAATTCAATAAGATCTATCATCCTATTAAGTTTCAAGTCTAAAGCTTTTGTAATTATTGAGAAATGGCCTGGACAAAAATAAAGTATGAAAATAAACAAAGGGCAATAACTCAAAAAATAAGAAATGCAGAGTACCAGTTCTTGTGCACTGCACTTCTTCTTAATGAGATCTATCATCCTATGAAGTTTCATGTCCATAGATTTTATACTTAAGGAGAAATGGCCCGGACAAAAATAAAGTATGAAAATTAACAAAGGCAATAACTCAAAAAATAAAAAATGCAGAGTACCACTTCTTGTGCATTGCACTTCTTCTTAATGAGATCTATCATCCTATGAAGTTTCAAGTCCATAGGTTTTATACTTTAGGAGAAATGGTCCAGACAAAAATAAAGTATGAAAATTAACAAAGGGCAATAACTCAAAAAATAAGAAATGCAGAGTACCACTTCTTGTGCACTGCACTTCTTTTTAATGAGATCTATCATCCTATGAAGTTTCAAGTCCATAGCTTTTATACTTTAAGAGAAATGGCCCGGACAAAAATGAAGTATGAAAATTAACAAAGGGCAATAACTCAAAAAATAGGAAGTGCAGAGTACCGGTTCTTATGCACTGCACTTCGGGTCATTATAAGAAGCATGCATACCAAGTTTGAAGTCAATCCAACTTATAATGACTGACTTATGCTCCGGACAAGCTTAAGGGGACGCCGACGCCGACACCGACAACGACACCGACAACGACGCCGACAACGACAACAACGCCGCCGACAAAAGTAACCCCTATATGTCACCTTTTTCAAGGCGACACAAAAAAACAAGACAGAACATGCTGTTATAAGATGCTAACTAGAGATCAGGAATTCATAACAAGATAAAGTCACAAACAATGTTTTGTTTCCATGGTAATATATTACAACAAAGTCATTACTTCATGAACTTGCTGACTATTAAAAACAACAATTTTGCTTTAAAACTTTCGTTTCTACTCAGTGTATTATGTAATCGACAATTTTTCAATTTGTGTTTCTTCAAACTGTGCATAGAGTATTATTGTGTTTCTTTTTCCACAGATTGTGTTTAACTTTTGCTATTTCTATATCAAACAAACACTACACCATTGTGTTTTTATAAAAAGTTTCCATTTAAAGACTCTGTGCAATGTTATTTTAAAAACTATATGAAAAGTTGTAACTCAAGGACTTGGTGTAATACTGATGTAACTATATACTATAACAAAAATCAGATACAGTAGTGTTGCAACAATCCCCAAAATTTATTTAGAATACAAGTACATTATATGTATCAGAAAACAGACATTTTAAAGGTACATGTATCTTGTATATCAAAAGTACAATAAATTTGCTAACTAGGTGTGAGAAGAAATTAAGAGGTTCAACACATGCATTCTGAAAAAAAGAAAGAATAGAGGATTTAAAACATAGCAACATGACAATGTCTGAAAAAAAAGAGAAATGTTATTGTTAAGCATGCTTTGTTTGATCTGAAATACAGAGGAAACATTCTGTAAACAGTTAATAAACAATCTCTACACATGTTAAATTATCTTTCCTTCATGCTATTAAGCAAACACAGAATTTGTCTTAAGTATAAGCATGATAAGCTACTCAGTATTGACTACGAAATCTGTGACTATGAATTTAAGTCATTCAACGCCTTGACTATACAAACAAAAAGATAATTTATTCATTAAAAAAAATCTTAAAGTTTCTTGGAATAAAAAGAAAACATGTTTTGTGCAAGCATGCTATGAGCTTCTGTCAAAAGGAAAAGCTCTTTTTTATGATTGCATTTATTCTTTATAGATAGAAATCATCATTACAGTATTTCATTTAATCATGCTCAAGAATGAAATACATCATGCAGGTTACAAAGTTAAGATTTCATTGACATTAAAAATTAAACAGATAAAATTCACTGGGTAACACACTTTTTCATGTTCACATTCCATGCTTAAACAAAATCTCCAATTACCGGGCTCCAACCCTGGACCATAGGCTCGAACTTTGCTGACGTCAATCTTTCCACTTGGTACCACCTGTGACTTAAATGGTGACTTTGGTATATGCTCATCAGCATATGTAACATTGATGTTGTACTCCCCAGGAACTTCTGGGTAATATGTGACATCACAGGTCCCATCTTGGTTGTCACGGCACTCAATCTTGCTTTCAGCTGGGCCTTCAACTGTGACACCAATGCCACCTGGTTGAGTAACCTCCCTTGTGTCAATTGTGAACTTGCACGGCTCCTCAGACACACCACGTTCAAGACCTGGACCATAGGCCTTTACCATTTCAGATGGACGTACAGCCTTAACTGGGAATGGTGATTTTGGCACTTCTTTTCCAGCATATTTTACAGCCACCAAGTGTTCGCCTTCTTCCAAGGGAGCAAACTGTGCCTCGTATCCCTGTGGTGTTGGTTTGAGAGGGAGCTCTCTAACTTGTCCAACTTTATTTGTGGCGGTGACTTGGCATGGAGCATCTACTACACCAGTCTGGGCTGTCTCTATGGTGACGGGGCGGATCTCTCCAACCTCAACAGCTGAAAAAAGCAAACGATGGCATGCAATAAAGCACATTTAATTAAAACAACAGACATGTACCTGCCTTTAGGCAAAGAAGACATCTTGATAATTATATGCAGTAAAAAGTATTATGTTCAAATACTGAAAAATTTCACATATAGTGCAACACATGGACTTTTAACATTGTACATGCTGACTTAAATAAATTTTAAGCTTTAAAACGTAGTATTCATTATTGTTATTCTTGAAATATCAATGCATCAACAGCTTATGTAACAAAGCATCATAGCTATATAGCCAATATAACAAATAACTATACTTACGTTTCTCAAGTCCAGTGACCTTCACCTTGCTGAAATCAATGGTCGGTTCAGCCATGACATTGAAAGGTGATTTTGGCACCTCTTTGCCATTGAAGTTAACATTTACGCGATGTGGACCCACTTCCTGTGGGGCCAAAGTGGCTGTATAGCCTTCTGGTATCTTACGTGTTGGCAACTCCACAGTTTGACCTCTGGGGTTTGTTACATTGACCTTGCATGGGGCATCAGGTTTGCCAGTTGTAGAGGTCATAATGGTGATTGGACGTGGCTCTCCAACCTTGATTGCTATATAAAGAACAGATACAGTATGTTTCATACATTTTCTCAAATGACATTTTAAACAGAATCATCGGGACCTTCAATTAACAAATTTGAAAAAATACATTATTGACATAAAGCTAAATTTGTCACAACTAGTTTCTATTAAGTAAGTGATTCCTAAAAAAGCTGTTTATATTTAGAAAGTTTTGCTCAAAACAACTTGTTTGAATTAAGTGAGAGATTCCTAAAAAACAGCTGTTTTACCAACAAGTTGTTTAGATTTAGGAATTTTTGTCTCAAGCAAGTTGTTTTAATGTTGTAAGTTTTGCAAATTAATTCTTAAGTTTCTAAATAAATTTTACATTGTATCTGGATTAGTAAAGTTTGCCCATGATTGAAGAAAACCATGCTTTTTAAAACATGTACATTGTCAAAATCAACACTGAATTTCACTGGACACAGTATACATAATATGTCTTTGTATAAGCACTAGACATTAACACTGAAACAGTGTACAGTAAACGGCTCAACATTTTCATGAAACATCTCATGCAACTTCACACAACAGGCATGATAAAACATCAATAAGTTTACAAGCATTTTACTGAATTGCTGCGCATCTGTACATCAAGGCAAAACTATTTTATTTCAAACTCATAAAATGAAAAGCAACAATGTTGAAGATGTTAAATGAATTGCAAAACTATTTTATACTAAACTCATAAAATGGATAGCAACAATGATGAAAATGTTAAATGAAATCTTTATTCTGATATGGATCATGTGTTTAAAAAAAACAATTAGAAGTTTTTATCATATATTTGTACTTGTTGCTTGTTAATTGTTAAGCATTAAACAAAAGCTGTTCTTGAATAGAGATATTTGCAGAAGGAAAAATGGAATTGTTTTTATGTAAGATAATTACCCACCCATGATGCAATTTCGCTGCTACAAAATGTTGTTGATCAGAACATTCTGGAAGCTTATCTCACAGTTTCCATGCAGTGCAGTACATAAATCATGACTGACAAAGGAATAATTCGATTCCGAACTATTTAAGAAGAACTTTAGAAATGCCTTAATCATCCCTTTTCCAGATTTTTAACATCATGCAAAAATCTTACATTAGACACATGACTTAGCAGAGACTTACACTGGACACATGACTTAGCAGAGTTTACAATCTTTACTCTTTAAATGTACACATGACTAAGCAGAGTGACTTACAATGAAAACATGACTAAGCAGAGTTTACAATCTGTCAGGTACATCTGTCAGATTATCAAGGCATACTAAACAATGAGACAGAAGAGCAGAAAATGAAAAGAAAATAACAAAGAAGACAAAACATTCAGATGCTGATTTCACAATTTTCAGACATTTTACATGAAATGAGAGTAAACTGAAGTAGACAACTAAAGTTAAAGCTTTTACATTCCTGCAGCCAATCAATGTCGTGAGAAAACGCTCTGTATGTCAGACAGCTAGATATAGATTTAAGTCATGCATAGGTAATTTTCAAGTTCGCTACTCTAAAAGAAAGAAAAAGGGTGAAACTTTGAGTTCAAGCAGTGCAGAGGGTTACACTTCAGCCAACGAGATTATCCGTGAATCATTCCCAGCTCTCTGATTGGTCCATTCCGATTAAAAAACTTACGAGTCTCTAATCCCATAACCTCAACCTTTCCAGTATCGCAAGCAGGTTCAACCTGAACAGTGAAAGGTGATTTTGGAACTTCTTTTCCAGCATAATTTACATTGACCTTATGTGGGCCCTCTTCAAGTGGGGCGAAAACAGTCTGGTAGCCTTCTGGTGTTTGCTGAGTGGGTAGTTCAGCAGTGACACCCTTTGGCGTTGTTGCTGTGACGCGGCATGGAGCATCTGGTTTTCCAGTTTTAGTAGTGTTGATCTGAACAGGGCGGGCTTCACCAACTTCCACAGCTACAAGCACAGATTATTAGTGCATAAAGCAAAACTTTTGCTTGTTTTTAAGGTTGTGTTTTTTTTGGGTTTTTTTGCATAGCATGAGAGCACAAACAATACTTTAATCTTAATTAAGAATATTACCACAAAGAAAGAAAGTTTTTTATCGACTCAGAGAAATTACACGGGTTAAATATGAATGTAGGATTTGAAAAAATTCTATATCTATTTACACAATAAGAGTATTAGATGTTATAACTTAGTAAACATAGGGAATCAATAAGAAGATTTATCATAAGTTTAATACATTATCGAAAAAAAAACAACAGACTAGTCTCTACAAACTTCTTAATATCTAAAAGTAATCAGTCACTTCAAAATGACATCTCAATTATAGGTATACATTGGTACAATAAACAATACTACTATCACTACAATACATAACACACATAGGGCTAGTAAAAAGCTAGTTAGCATGGCTAAAGTGTACGGGTTAAAATAATGACCAAATAAACACAAACATTATCATTTGTTTTCCGTATCTTGCAGGTCCATATTTCTATATCCTGAAAGCAAAGTATTGCAAGCTGATCTAGCTGGTGGTATGGTATTTTTCGTGGTAATATTAAAACAAAAAGAAAACCATGAAAAAGTAACCGCGAAACTTTTTTTCCTGAAACTAGCATAAATCATTAAGATTCATATCATAAAGATTCTCTCCATTTTAATGCATTCCAAATCTATGCTACAAATGATAGGGGAAGCCAAGGCATCGTTGGTTTTTTTTCTTAAAAAAAATATTTTGCATGACTGTAATGTGACTATATATTGGTTCCATGATGCACCCACTTACGAGTATCAAGTCCGGTAACCTGCACGGCGCCCACTTCAGCGGCCGGCATTACATCGACATTGAAAGGTGAATCTGGCACTTTCTGGCCAGCGAACTCAACATTAACTACATGCGGACCAGGTTCAAGAGGAGCAAAGAGAGTCTGATATCCTTCTGGCGAGGTTTTAGCCGGCAATTCAGCCGTTTTACCCTTGGGGTTTGTAACAGACACCCTACAAGGGGCATCGGGCTTCCCAGTCGATGTCGTATCTATGGTGATGGGGCGTGTCTCTCCAACTTCCACAGCTAATAGAATAAAACATTACACACAATCAACATCCAAATACTGTACACTATACAATATAATAAACATGTGCCGTTTTTTAAATATTGCCATCCGCAAATAGGCTGGTTGTTTGAGTGAGTACTTTTGACCGACCAATTTATAGATTTGAAAATATGCGGCACGCAACAATTACAGTTAAGACAACATTTAAAACACTGCAAAAACTTTACGCTTTACAGGTTAAACACATTAACAGGTATAACACATACTTAATATAGAAAGTTGTTAACTATATTTTAATAATTCTATAATCTTGCTTGAAAAAAACATATATTAAAAGTTTAGCAACGTTATTGTATTATGGAATAAGTTAGTTTCACTCAATCTATACTTTAATTATAAATTACTATTTAAAAAAAATCTATTGTTATATCAACTTAATAAGGTACAGATTTCAATGAATCATGCAAAAATAATGAGTTTTAAATATTGATGTGTTGTTATGAAGATGTAATAATGAAAAGGACTGCATTATTTAATGTATCACATGAAATATCTTCTCTTTTTTTTTGCTATAAGAATGAGAATGATATGCTTGAAGCATCTGCAATCTTTGATCAGGCCACTCGGATCAAATTTCAGTATATATAAAGTTTGCTTTAACATCTTCCTTCTTAAACTGAAAAATTCTGTAATGATTTTTTTTAAGAGAATCAAAGCTGATGAACATTAACAGTTAAAGTCATAAAAGATTTCAACTTTGATATTCCTAAATTTTCTGCAAAATTGGTACAAAAAAACAGGTTCTATGGTAACAAAGATCCAAAGTCCACAAGTAAAAAGTCTTCAACACTAAATTGTACTTTGTATTTTTCTTATCTTCAATTGTGCTGTCAACTAGGTCAACTGTTTGGTCAACAATAATGGCTGTACTTTGTTGTATTCCCATGTTCATCAACCTTACACTTTCTCGTCTTGTTTCTTTCTGCTTTGGAATTGTGTCATTACCGTGCAAAGCAGTTTTTACCATTAAAATAACAATCCCTGGTTGGAACATATTCTTTTCTACATGGTGATAATTTAATCTCTTGAAACATACATACGTGAATCATCAATCACTGTTATTGATAAGATTTCAGTTTTACAATACGACGTTAGTTATTTCTACATGTTACAACATCTAACATTAATCAATCATCTCAGCCATGCGCTAACTTACGCTTCTCCAATCCTCTCACAGTTACTGCCCCTACATTTGCTCTTGGTTCAACCTTAACTGGATATGGTGACTTTGGTAATTCTTGCCCAGCAAAGGCGACATTGACCTTGTGTGGGCCAGGTTCGACTGGAGCAAATGTAGTAGTGTAACCTTCTGGGCCAGGCTTTGTGGGGAGCTCAACTGTCTGTCCCCGAGGATTTGTCACAGACACAAAGCAAGGAGCATCTGGTTTGGCAGTTGACAATGTGTTGATGGTGATTGGGCGGGGCTCTCCAACTTCAATTGCTGATAAAATCAAAATTGGGATATCTTTCTAACTGAATTTATCATTATCGTAACCATAAAATCTTATCTTTTACTAAGAACCATGTAAAATGAGCTTATATACAACATGTATCTATGACTGTCAATAATCACCGGCAAAATACTTAAACCTGAAAATGAACGATTAGTCTAAAACTAAAATATACGAACACATGTTATAACGGAAATATAAAGCACACGTATATGAATTCAGCAAACAGACATAAAAATGATATTCTGTATTTTATAAAAACCAGTCTATAATCTACAACGAAGAGCAAAATGATAGTGCTTGATCCCAAGATATACCTCAGCACACACAAAAGCACATTGTTGTGAGTAATTTCTAAAATCTTTGGCACAATTCGATGGAGAGTATACACAAGTTCATAACCTTTTGACCTTTCAAGGTCATTTTTCTGTAAAGAAAAGACAGAAGGCATAAAACAAAAAAGGTTTTTATTGAAAGATGATTTTTTTTTTAATTTTACAAAAAAAGAATAGAATATCAAAAAGTTACCTCCCTTCGTTATATCAATATTTCATTTCCATGGTAACCAGTCTTGTGCCCCATCTGTCTTGCCAAAGATCCAAGTTAATTTAGAGTGAACATAAAGACTGTCAATCAAAAACTGTCAATGGTGAGTACATTGAAAAAAACTGGTGCTATTATTTTGTTGTTCAATCATGGGCCAATTTTTTATTAAATTAGTATAAAAAATCAATTTTTCGCAGCATCTACTTTTTGCATATATAGCCATTCATGCTTTTACCTAGAAAAAAAAATCTTGTACTGAAAATATCATAATTAGCGACAAGTCAACAAAGTGTCAGCCCAGCAGCAACAAGAAAGAACTAATCACTCCGTGCTACCCTAACCCGTCAAAACTAACTTACGCTTTTCAAGCCCCTTTATTTGAACTTTAGTTATATCAACAGGGGATTGCACATCTACATAGTACGGAGATTTGGGAACCTCCTTTTCCCCATATATAACTTTAACATAGCTGTCTCCACTTTCAGTTGGTGTAAATTCGCATTCAAGCCCGTCTTTTGTTTTTTTAGTCGGAAGTTCTTGATAAGGGTTGATTGGACCTTTGGCTAAGACCTTACATGGGAGATCAGGTCTCCCAGTTTGAGCAGTTACGATCGAAATTGGTCGTGTTTCTCCCAACATTATGGCTGTATCAAATAGGAAAAAACGAAATGTAGTCAATTAAAGATCTCTATATTAAGTGTGTTTTTAAGGCTTTTGTTCAGTTTTTAAAAACGAAAATGAGTAATTTTTCAAGGTAATTACATTGTACACACCACCAGAATGCAACATGTTTACAACAACATCAAAAAACGGAAATCTAAATTCTTAATTGTTACTTTCTGTTTGAATTCTTAACCATTTTCTAATCTACATTTCATAGATATATTTAGGGAACAGTTCAGAATACAGCCAAAATGAAGAGATTCAAACTTACGCTTTTCTAACCCCTTAACTTGTAACTTTTTGATATCTAATTTAGGTTGAACATTTGTTGAAACAGGAGATTTAGGCACTTCCTTTCCAGCGACATCAAAGTGAAGCTTATGTGGACCTTGTTCTGTGGGGTGAAACATGACCTCATACCCTTCGGGAACTTTCTTTGTGGGCAACATAAAAGTGCGACCCGAAGGCACGATGCACGATGCTTTGCAAGGGGCATCCTCATTGCCCGTATCTTTGGTAATGACCTTGACGGGTCTAAATTCATCTACCTCCACAGCTGCAATAGTAATAAGGGGAGTTAAGTTATAAGTAAGGGAGATAATGACTCCATGATAGAATTAGTAAAGTTCTGGGAGAAAAATAATATCTTTGAATTATATATTATTGGGAAAATCAATACTAGGTAGAAATAGATTTATTAAGATGTTATACGGTTCTCGCAGTTGATGTTGGAAGAAAAATTCAAAAATACATATCATAATATATAAATTAATGCAATTCATTAATGAAATTTCTCATTCAGAAAAAAACCTCAAATGGAAATAAATATCAAGCTATGCTTAGTTTAAAAAAAATGTAAAAAAAACACAAGAAAACAACTTAAGTTTGAACATGTCAACCTAAAGAAAATAATATCAATAAACATGGGGACCCGACTTCACACAAAAGTCATTAATATGCTTTTATATAAGAATCAAATCGTCACACAAATAAGAAAATACACCACAAGAAAACAGCAAAGTGTCGGAGGTAACTCACGTTTCTCTAATCCCTTTATATCAACCTTAGAAATGTCACAAGCAAGCTCTACATTTGCTGGGTATGGCGACTTTGGTAGTTCTTTATTGTCAAAATCAACCCTGATCAAGTGTGGCCCAGTTTCCAATGGGGCAAATGTAGCCTCATAACCGTCTTTAGTTTTCTGAGTGGGTAAATTAGTTGGTTTTCCCAATGGGTTCAATGCAACGACTTTACATGGAGCATTAGGTGTTTTGGATGCTTTTGTGATAATGGAAATCTTTCTCTTTTCATTTGGTTGAATTGCTGAAAAAGTGTTGAGCAGTTTTAATAGTTGAACTTTCTTAAGTAGCTTACACATTTAAAACTTCTTTTATTTAACCCTTTTTTCTAATTTACATTGTCTAATTTACATTGTTTAAATTTAAAAGAAATGAAAAAAAAAATCATTTGAAAATCTACATTTTGTAAGATTTGCTCGAATATGTTTCCAACAAATGAAAAATTTCATTCTCTGAAGTGACACTTACGAGTTTCAAGTCCCTTGACTTCAATACTCGAAAGGTCAGTCTTTGGTTTCACCTCAACAGCGAAAGGCGACCCAGGGGCCTCTTTTCCAGCATATTCAACCTTGACCTTGTAAGGACCTTCTTCCAATGGTGCGAAAGTTGCTTCATAGCCATCTTTAAGTTTCTTTGTTGGAACGTCAGATGGTTTGCCTTTAGGATTGGTTGCAGTGACTTTGCAAGGGGCGTCTGGTTTTCCAGTTGTCACGGTGATTGGTCTCTTTTCACCAACAGTGACCGCTATTTTGATATTTAGAAAAGCAAAAGACCACCATAACTATTTTGATGATTATATGACTAAATTCAAGTACAGCATTAAGACATTACTCAGATAAAGTAACATTACTATGCCATTATTTTTATGCAGTTTACCAGATGCTTTAAAAAAAAAAATTAACTAATTACTTTTTTTTTTGTAACATTTATTTATACTACAGTTAGCCCAGTACTACAGTAACTAGCATTTCTTTAATTTAAGCTAAAATGCTTTTACATTTACATTACTTCTTCTTCTTTTTTTCACAATCAAGATTTTATTTTTCTGCTTACGTGTTTCTAAGCCCTTGACAGTAACAGGTGTTTCTTTAGGTTTTCCTGATTTAGGCTGGACTTCAACAGGGTAAGGAGACTTGGGAACTTCGCGGTTTGCATATTCCACTTTGATCTTGTGAGGACCAACCTCCAATGGGGCGTAAAGTGTCTCGAAACCTTCAGGAATCTTCTTTGTGGGAAGATCTTTAGTGTCTCCTTTAGGAGCAACTGCCGTGACCTTGCAAGGTGCATCAGGTTTGCCACAGTCTTTGGTAATCACCTGAATTGGTCTTTGTTCTCCTACCTCAATTGCTGTAATTCATTTAAAGCTTGATTTTATACTTTGTGTTGCTTTCAATGGTAAATATACTATTGTTACATTTAATATGGGGTTCGTCATTTTTACATTTTGCAACTCTGTTCAAACACTCTAATGGAAATGACTTGGCATCTCCAAGGCATTATCTGTTGTTTTGTTTTGCATAGAACCCTTAATTTACCATTTAAACTTCATTAACTTAAAATGCTCATATATTTTACTTTCAAATTAAATTGATAAACAAGTTGCTACATCTAATTACAGATAATGAGATCTGTATTTTTTTAACATTTTTAAACATTTCTTTTTTATTTTATTTATTTTCATTGATATCATTTTTGTAATCTTAAAAAGAATGCCTTTGCTATAAGGCACAAAGAGTAGCATGTATTATTATTTTGTACAGCAAACCTTTAAAACAATGTCAGGATACATCTTAGAAATCTTAATAGTATCAATGGTAGGTAAATCTTTTACAACTGAATAAAATACTGTTTGAGTACATGAATATTTCACGAACAAACTCACGTGTTTCAAGGCCTTTAACATCAACCTTTCTGATCTCCAGTTTCTCAACTTCACAAGTGAATGGAGAATCAGGAATCTCTTTCCCATTGTATTCAACCTTGAAAATATGGGGCCCTGGCTCATTCGACTGGTAGAAAGTTTTGAACCCTTTAGGGGTTTTGTCCATTTTTGGTTCAAAGTTTCTTCCCTTAGGGTTTGCCACAGTGATTTTACAAGTAGGTTCAGGCGCAAATCTGTTCGGTTTAGCAGGTGCTGTGACCAACACTGCAATATCTCTTTTCTCACCCATTGTCAATGCTATATAATTATATGAAAATAAGGTCAAAACAATCTTCTTCAATGTGAAAAAAAAAAATCATAGAAAAACATTTTCCGATTTATTTTCCATAATCTTCTTAAAAAGCTGTTACTTTTTTACTAGTCAAAAATATATACTGATACTAAGCTGATGTGCTATTTCCTGCAAAGCTAATTCATGGTCACAGTATATTTTTGCTACTTTAATATTCTTATTCCTCTGACAAGCTCGGTAGTGCAAAAAAAATTGTAGCTTTATCTGAACCATTCTCCAATCTGCTAAACTGGAACTAACCAGTAATAACATCAAATGAGGATACATGGCTGTGACCCATTGATGCCTAGGTCAAGAGGAAGACACCTTAACCATTAAAGCTCCATTCTCTTTCAATTAAATTAATTTTTCCTGTTAATATCAAAATTTGTATCTTCAATCAAAGATGAATAAATTAAATAATATTTGCGTAAACAATATAATTCAAAATTATATTAGACACATACGGGTATCTAAGCCCTCAACATCAATTCTCTGCTCAAACTTGGTAACAGTCACAGGGAATGGCGAGCCCGGCACTTCCTGTCCAGCAACCTCAACAGTAACAGTGTGTTTTCCAAGGTCAGTTGGTGTGAAAAATGTCTCGTGACCTTCAGGGGTCGTACTTGTGAACAATTCAGTTGTGACCCCTTTAGGATTAGTGACATGTACTCTACAGGGAAGGTCTTTCTTTCCAGTGGATGTTGTAATAATTGATATTGTACGCTTTTCACCAACCATAATTGCTGTTAAATAAAGTATTATACTAATATCAATTGTAGTGGAAGTGTTCTTAATCATACAGGATGCTTTAAAAATATAAAATACCTTAAATATATGGTAAGTGTTGAATATTGAAATAACTTAATTTCTCTATTTCTGTATATTGTATACTACCATTATGACTTTTGACTTTTGAAATTGTAAAACTGTCTATAATACACATTTTTTTCCATCTATTTTAAGTAACTACTGTTTTACTAGTGACAACTGTATTTTTATAGAAATTACATCAGTTTAATTACTTTTTTAAATTCAATCTTTGATGAACTTACATTTTTCAAGGCCTTTAACTTTTACGCCAGATATATCTAATGCCTCAACATTAACACTGAATGGTGAATTTGGAACTTCTTTTCCTGCGTATGTGACTTTGACCTTGTGGTCACCTTTCTCTTTAGGTGTGAAATTACAGACATATCCTTCAGGGATTTTCTCAGTAGGTATTTCTTCTGTTTTCCCTTTAGGGGATGTGGAAACAACAGAGCAAGGCGCATCTGCTCGTCCTGTCTCGTGTGTAAGTATAGTAACCTTCCTTGTTTCCCCAAGAGGTATGGCTAATAAAGGAAGGAAATTTATTTGCGAGATAATGGTTCAAACATTTAATTGAGTTGACAAGAAGATTTATTGTAAAGGAGTGTTACAACAGTTATTGTGCAACAACTTTGAAACATAAGTATAAAATGCCCTTGTTACTTAAAAGATTATGAAACAAGTTTACATATTTCACTCTATTTAGCATTTTTAGACCAGAAGAAACTTGGGTATGTTAAAATAACTTTTACTTTAAATTTTTAAAATTTCATATAATCAATAATAACAACTTGGGATAACATTTTCCTGGCTTATTTTTACATTAGCTGAAGTCAGACAAGGTATTTTTAGATATTTATATATTATTGAGCGCAATAATTTTTTTCACTTACGAGTATCGAGACCTTTGACACTGACTTTCGATACATCAATTTTCTCGACCTCTACATTGAAAGGCGACTCTGGTATCTCTTTACCATCATATTCAACTTTAATAATGTGAGTGCCTTTATCCCATGAGGAAAAGGTGGTTTCGTAACCATCGGGAACTTGTTTTGTTTTCAGTTCAACAGAGCGACCTTTAGGATTGGTCATAGTTAGTTTACAAGGAGCGTCTTTCTTTGGTGCTTTTGTTGTGTCAACAAGAACAGGACGTTTCTCGCCGGGAGAAACAGCTGCAAAAAAGGAAATATTTGTGTGTCCTTTTTCCTAAATTTTATTGGTATTACAAATATGAACTATACATAACTGAGATTTTTAGAGCGAAAAAAAAAATTGATAAAGTGCAGTCATTTTGTTTGCCAGTCAGTCTACCTAACAACTCAGCTGCTAGATAATTAATCAATAACATAAACTTAATATTAAAATCTTGTGTTATTAAGCATTCAATAAGCAGTAAATAACAAGCTTTTACATCAATAAGAAGAATAATAACAGTTTCTAAGGGTACTTAATTCATTTTTACTGATATCATCACCAGCAAATAAGCAATGTAAGGGTTAATGTTTGCTTACGGGTATCAAGGCCTTTAACAGTAACTCCGCCTTCACCAGGTGCAGCTTTAGTTGGCGCAGCTTTCTTGGGTTCAATTTTCTCAGCTGTTTAAAAAACAGCAAATATATTTTATTATATAACATTTAACAGCATAAAATTTCATCTTAATTTTTTGTTTTTTTTTGTTTTTGTTGTCTCATTTTTATTTACTTTTATGTGTCATTTTTTTATATATCTATTTTAATCCCTTTTTTTTAATTGGATAATTTTCAATTTAAATGTTGTTTTTGTACACTTTTAAAAGAAATAAATTTGAAATTCTAAATATAGGTTGGGCCACTTACGGGCTGCTTCTGTTGGTTTCCCAGCCTTTTTAGGCTGGATTTCGGAAACTTCAACGGAGACTGTAAACGGTGATTTCGGCACTTCTTTTGTAGCGTATTCTACTTTCACTTTGTGCTCCCCGGGCTCTTTTGGGGTAAAGTCACTAGTGTAACCCTCTGGGGATTTTTCTGTAGGGATTTCTTCAGTTTGACCTTTAGGTGTGGTCACAATGACTTTGCAGGGAAGGTCAGATTTACCAGCGTCTTTTGTAATGATACTAATCTTTCTTGTTTCACCAAGAGGAATTGCTGAATTGAATATTTATAGTAATATATCAGATCCTAGTCAATATAGAATTGTTTTGTAGTTAAAGAGGGAATTACAGAAAAAGAATTATTAATTGAAAATATTTTGAAAGAATGAAAGGTGCTAGAGGTTGTAAATAACTTACAGAAATTTCATTCATGTAACAGTCTTTATATCAGTACAAAATTTTAGTATTTTAAACTAACTTTCTGTCAATTTACATTTTTATTTTAAATGTAAAGTTTCCTATTTTATGCTTGACAACTTGAAATACAAATGTACTTATATAACACTGGTTTACTTATACTTAACAAAAACCCAAAACAGATTTTGAATCTTACGTTTTTCAAGTCCCTTCACAACAACAGCAGATATATTGATTTTGTACACTTCAACTTCAAAAGGTGAATTAGGGATCTCCTGCCCATCATATTCGACTTTGACTTTATGTACCCCAGTATCCCAAGGGGAGAAAACTCCCTCATAACCTTCAGTCACTGGCTTAGTTTTTAAAGTAGTACTGCGACCTTTAGGATTGATTGTTGTTACAGTGCATGGTGCATCCTTCTTTGGTGCACTGGTTGTTACCACGGTAACCATTCTCTTTTCACCAGTCTGAATTGCTGCAATCAAACATGATTTCTCAGCATGTTTTCTTTTTTTATCATTTCAAAAACAGCATTTGCTTTGAAAGTTATCTAAATATTTTGAGTATATTTTAATTATCTCTTTTATCTTTTATTTTGTTTAAATCTTAATATTTAACTGCCTGAAAGCTAAGAATGTAACCTTTTCAATACTTATGTTTCAATTAATTTATATATTGAATATATATTGGCATTTCAAAAAAAATCCCAAATTAATATTTTCATTGCAAGCTTACGTGTATCAAGGCCTTTCACAGTTACTTCCCCTGTGGGTTTATCTTTAGCAGGGCCTTTTGATCCTTTGGGGACAACTTCAACAGGGAATGGAGAGTTTGGCACAGGTTTCTTATCATAATCAACAGCAACCTTGTGCGGACCTTGATCGGAGGGTGTCCAAGTGGTTGTATAACCCTCGGGACTTTTCTTTACAGGCAACTCAACAGTTTTGCCTTTAGGATTTGTAGCAGTCACCTTGCAAGGGGCATCTTTCTTTGGCATGGATGTTGTAATGATACTGATAGGCCTTGCCTCCCCTACCTCAACCGCTGTTAAATAGTGTATTTGATGTTATTTTTTTTATTTATTTTTTTTTCATTTGTTGTAATTAATATACTGCATTTTTGTTTAATAAATTTTATCCCTTATTCACAATATATTTTTAAGATCAAAGATTAACTAATATTATTGAAGCAACTTCAATATTGACAACCAAACAAAATTTGTAATTTTTAGATTTTGCAATATTTTTCAACAAGGATATTATCTTTTAAGGGTGAATTGATACATTAATATATTTGTTAAACCACAACTACTGTCCAAACAGTCTATATCTACCACTGTTACAATACCAAAGGTCACAATGTATATCACACATAAAACTTACGTGTTTCAAGACCTTTGACCTGAATGCCTGGTAATGTCTTGCCACCTGTTGTTACCTCCACATCAAACGGCGAGCCGGGCACAGGTTTATTATTATATGTAATGGTAACTTTATGTGGCCCTGACTCAAGGGGCTTGAAGTCACATGTGTAACCATCTGGTGCTTTCTTTGGTGTAAGCTCAACTGTTTTATTCTTTGGCGTTGTCACGGTAACCTTGCAAGGAAGGTCTTTCTTCTTCTCAGAAGTTGTTATTATGGTGATTTTACGCGTTTCGCCCAGCGGAATGGCTATAGAACAACTTTCATTAGCATGACAGTGATACAATCATACATGATTAAAGGCAAATACACTGTACAATGCAATGCATATAATCTCCAATCAAGTATAAACAGTACTGGCAAAAAAAAAAACACATACCAGACATCTACAAACATTACATATAAAACACATTTTCTCAATACAAATAAGACACACACACTAAATGTAACCCCATCGACATGTGCCAAAGAAATCATGTACATGGATTATTTTCATATAACAAATTATAAAAAGGTTTCTAAATATACATGTTTGCTGAAATCAAATACCTGAAATAGAGTTTATTAGGTAGGAAGTGTTATTCTAATGTCAAAGTTATTTTCATGTAACAATTTCAAATCAGATGCTTTGATATGGGAAAGGAGCGGGCTGGGCTGAGACATGATGGCCGCAAATGGAAGAAAAAACGTTCTGCCACAGGAAGTGAATTTCAGCCAGCACACAGGAAGTCTGGGAAATTTTATTCAACTTACGGGTCTCAAGTCCTCTCACACGGACTCTTGTGACGTCAATAGCAATTTCGACCATGACCTTATACGGTGATTTTGGTAAAGGCATTTCAGCGTAGGTCACAGTGACCTTGTGTTCACCCACTTCAGTGGGTGTGAACATAGCAGAATAGCCCTGTGTCACCAAAATAAGTGTCATTTCCAAAGTCTTTCCAGACGGCATGGTTATTGTTATGGTACAAGGGGCATCTTTCTTTTCTGCCTTACTGGTATCAACCACAATTGTACGGTTCTCGGTAAGCTTAATTGCTAGTATATAAAAGTGGAGAAATACATGAAAAACACACCATCACAAATATACATTACAACACTGTACAGGTAATAATCTTCATTAACAATATTTCTACATTATTCTACCATAAATTACTCAATAACTTCAAAACACTTAATAAATATGGACTTTTTTGCAATAAGTATATTACATAAGTACATTATACAAAGAACTTGCCTCCACCATTATCTAATAATTGCCTACAAGATATTATAGAAACGTTTTTTTTCTTTGCACATTTTGCATTGATTTTTTTTTCATAACAATAGTAACAGGTAACAGATTTCTGTACTTTCATGTGGGGCAATAAATTCTAAGGCTGGATATCAAACACTTGTTTTAGTTTGTATGCATAAACAAAATCTAGGTAGTTACCTAAACAATTACCATATTATTTTTTTTATCTTATATTGTATAATATCAACTTAATATTAAGCTTAATCTATATTGCAATTTTGCCACTTTTTTCATATCTACTAATTCGTAAATATCAACTTCTGTTGCTAAGGAATTACAAGTCAATTACAAAAAAAAAACAACATAAAAAAAGAACAATTACAAAAAAAGACATCACTACACATATGTCATAAATAAAAAATCAATAAATATAAAATATCAATCTTGTTGCAGCTGTCACAGATATGCCTGAAATAGCAACAAATCTGTTAGATTTATATCAGCCTCTCAAAATCAGCCGTTCCGAAAATCCCGCAACTGATCCTAAAACTTTTCTGACGTCAATCACTGCTTACTATTCCTTTCATATCTAGATATAATCTGCAATTAGATCTTATCACAGACTTATACACCTATCAATATTTAAGCTACATTTTGATATTCTTGTTTATATATCAATGTCAATCTATCAAACATACAGAATTCTGTTTCAACAGCTTGAAGAAGCTTTAAGCTTAAACCTCAATAAACCTGGCTAAAAACCAGACTTAGATTCATGTTTTACTGAATAAATTTACTTTCTTCATAACCATGCCAACAGAATTCTGCACATTGAGCCAAATCTAATAATTTTCCACTTACGCGTTTCAAGTCCCTTCACTGTGACCTTGCTGAGGTCAATGCTGGATTCAACCTTGACCTTGATTGGTGACTGTGGTACTTCTTTGGTGGCAAAGTACACCTGCACTGTGTAGGTGCCGGGTGTTTTGGGCTCGTACTCAACAGTGAATGTGCCATCTTTGTTGTCAATGGTGTTGCAGGGAACATCCTTGCCCTTGTCATCAGTGAGAGCAATAGCTACATCTCCTACAATAACAAGACACAGTAATAATGTATAACATTATCTATTTACTTTCATTATCAACAAAAGATTAAACTTAATGCTTTAATTTTGCTGTGATAAAAATAATTATTGACAAAAAAACACAACATCAATGTTACATCAGATATCAAATGAAATAATAATTCAAGGTAGTACAGAAATCAACATTTGTTTCACATCTATAATTCTTTGGTAATATTTCAGTAAATAATGGTACTGGCTAACAAAGCTTAAATGATCATTGTTTTTGTTTTATACAAATATTTAAATACAGAAATACATTTTTTGTAGAGAAATGTGGATGGGTATGAGTCTGTGACAATAATCTTTCCATACTGAATATTATTAATATGGTGGCAATAACTGAAGTACATTGATCTCAATAAAAAAATCTCAGACCCTGGGATTTTACATAATCAATCCCTTGCCTGCATGACCCAAAACATTTTTAACAAAAGTACTTCCCCTATTTTAAATTTGTAATGGTAAAAAAATGTTACCTGGACCGGCTGCCCTGCAGTCAACAGTGAAGTATGTCTTGACATAGGTTTTAACTCCCTTCTCTACACCTGGACCATAGACCTTCACCTTTCCTGGATTACATTCCACTGTAACATTTACCTGCAAAAATAAAAGAACAGAGAAATGTCATTCTGGGTAATAGCTGACAAATATTCCTGTGTTTCTTTTCGAAGAAAAACTTTGTGTTCCTCTATCAAAACTATTTCAAACAAAGAAACAAGTTAAGTTACCCTTTAAGATCATTCTTCAAGGTCATTTTAAGGTCATTTTTTCAAGGTCGTTTCAAAACTACAGTTAAATTCTTAGTATGTATTGCTAAAAATTAAAATATATCAACAACCGTTGACATATTATTAGATACAAGACTGTTTGGAACACTGATTTATTTATTTATTCATTAACAGAAGTTTCAGATAGCGGAACCTTGTCAAAAGTTGGAGATACTTAAAAAATAAAAAGAAAAGCAAAATTACAAAAAGCACTTGTCTTTCAGCAAAAACCTTTAAATATTTTATCCAATTATGAAATCCTATTAGCCACATTTGCTTTTAACTGAAAACTTTTTAACTTTACAATGATATGCAAATCTTGAAGAAACACAAGGCTTTTACTGCAACATACTATATAAATTTTGTATTCAAAAAAATGAAATTTTCGCATACCCTGAAAGGACTCTTTGGAATTCCGACAGTTCCCCAGGTGATGATGATGGTGTGACGTACGGCGGACTTTGCTGTGTACTTGCACGAGAAGGTGCCGTCCTTGTTGTCCTTTACTGTAACCTCAACAGGTTTATAAGTGGCATCAATACATGTGATATGGAGAGGAGCTTTGCCTGCTTTCCTGGCATCTACAGTGAACTCTGCTGGCTTACCAACAGTAACTCCATCCTTCTCCAAACCAGGACCCTTAGCAATGACCTTAGAGGCATCAAAGTCAGTGGTTGCAGGTTGGATCTGTGCCATGTATGGAGCTTGTGGTATATCCTCATCGTTACACAAGATGTGGACGGCATACTCTCCTGGCTGTGTCGGCCAGTAAGTCACGTCAGCTGATCCATCTCCATTGTCTTTACAATCAATCTTAGCCTGGGATGGTCCCTCAATTGAAAATCCTACAATAATGCACAATTGGTATGACTGGAAAGCACATGTAGTCAATGAAACATTTCAAACATTACCAAAAAGCTGTTGTCAAAAGAAACTTTCTGAACTGCAAATGTGTCAAAAACATAATATAAAAGTTCCAAGTCTGTTGGTATAGCACATTTAAAAAACAGACGCTTACAGCATAACAAAAGTTTCCCCATTTTCAATATTTACAAAATTTACAAAGCATTTTACATTTAAATTCTTTAACACATTTTGGCAGAAACGTATTGTCTTTTTCCAAAAAGATGAATTTGTACCATTTATCATAAAGTTGAGAGTAGATACCCTTGTGTCACTGATAATTATAAAGTTAGAGACAGAATTGTAAAGAGCATAATTATTCTTACCAAGAGCACCAACTTCGCCATTGGTTTCCACAGTGAAACAAGCTGGCTGGTTAACCACACCTCCTTCCAGTCCAGGTCCGAATGCAACAATCTTTGAGAACTTTTCTGGTCCAACATCAACACGGAATGGACTCTTGGTGATGTGCTGGCCACCGAAGGTAATGTTGATGACATATTGACCTACTTTGGGGGGAATGTACAGGCACTCATAAACGCCTTCTTCTGTCTTTGATGGGGTCACCTTACAGTTCAAGTTTACACCACCTATTATACAAATATAAATTTTACATACATTTAATTCAATTAAGTTATTTCATAACAAAATAATTGGATGATTTACATGTGTATTTACTCTTATTTACTTAAATAGTTACACATCATGTTTGTGGAAGTATACCTTAGTGCAGTAACTGATTAACAGCTATTAAATTTAGGACTTATTCTGTTATTGCACTACGGCGACAATATATTGCTTAAGAAGCTGGTGTTCATAAAATATTCAAATTTGACATACCTGGACCGATGATTTGAACTTTGACCTCTCCCTTTCCGGCATCCTTTGTATGAACTTTGAATTCAGCATTCTGTTTAACCCTGACTCCGCGTGGCTGAATACCCCTTCCGGTAGCGTATACGGCTTTTGGGTTGATGGCCGGTCCGACATTGACTCCATATGGACTCTTTGGAATAGCTTTACTACTAAATGTGATGGAAATAGAGTGAAGGCCTACTTCCACGGCTGTGTATTCAACAAGAACCACTCCGTCTTTGTTTATTGGGTGAACTGTAGGCTTAACCTTGTCACGGTGACCTGCGGGGTCCATGATTGTTACCTCTACAGTTCCTTTACCAGCATCTGTTCAATTCAATCAGAATTAAATTTAATGATTTCTATCCTTATTTTTATCAAGTTTGCACATATTGTGAGTGGTTTAATGCAACACTATTGTAACTCCATTTTCAAAATAAAGAAGGCTACAATACCCTCACATTAAACTCAGGTGTTATGATGAAATATGAATATTAACATACCTAAAATATGATATTTTTTTTTAATATCTAACATGCATGATTTCTAGAATAAACTATATACAAGTGTGCATTATAGACTAGAAAATAAGTGAACAATAAAAGCATGTTTGAAAATGCCTTTTATGCATAAATAAATAGCTCTATATTAAAGACTATATTTTTTTTCCTGAAGCTCTAATAGTCCTTGTTTTATTTATGTTTGCATACTATATTATTGTAACAACCTATGGGGTTTCTATCTTAACATGATGAACATCATGCATGAACATCCAGTACTGGAAAGGCATCAAACATGTGAAGGATAGTACTGGAAACTACTGGTGCGTACACCCAAAACAAACACTTGTGGTGTTGAGAGCACATAACCTTTGGGTAATATATTACTTTCCTTTAATGAATATCACTTTGTGAAATAGCATGCTTTCAAAAATTAGCTAAATAAATGAGTTTTCAACCACTTTATTTCTATCTTATGAATATTAAAAAGTTCACTAATGACATTTTCTTGCTGATGAAAAAATAATTGAGCCGCGTCACGACAAAACCATCATAGTGCGTTTGCCACCAGCATAGATCCAGACCAGCCTGCGCATCAGCGCAGTCTGATCAGGATCCATGCTGTTCGCTATCAGTTTCTCTACTTGTAAAAGGGTTGGTTAGCGAACAGCATGGATCCTGATCAGACTGTGCGGATGTGCAGGCTGGTCTGGATCCATACTGGTTGCAAATGCACAATGATGGTTTTGTTGTGACGCGGCTCAATTATGATTTAATGAATCAGAAGTAAGGTGAATACATCTTTTTTTCTTATTTACAGAAAAAAAGTGTTGTGCTTTACAAGGAAAAATATCAAATCAACTTGATCAAATGTTAAAAATTTTCATCTTAAGAAATCAAAGACTCTTAAAAAATGATTTATAATTAAATTAGGAAATTTTACATCATTAAATAATGGTAACATATATGTAGACTACAAAAAACAACGATAAAAAACATTTAAATAAAAAAATAAAAACTTAATGATAAAGACAGGATACTGAACAAAAATAGGAAATTCACAAAATTAAGTCTGCCTATCAATTAACAATGAAAATATATCATATATGTATAATATAACATGTTTTGCTTAAGGTAACAATTACAATTGTAAAATGCCAAAGGGATAGGTATAGGGTAGCTGAAACTTTCATTCAATCATAAATTCTTTCAACTTAACAGGTAAAAACTGAAAATAAAATTCTGGGTAATGGACACTAAAATTAGGTTTTCTGGATAAATGAATAATAGAACAGGTCAAAATGACCCAAATTACGCTCAACACTTCATGTTTCTACAGATTTCTCATTAATAATGGTAATAGCGGATAATCATTTTCAAAACTTTTTTTTTCATTTTGGTCTTTAGATAATGATAAATATTTCAAAATATTTCAAGTCACAATGAAAATGCAAAGGTCATGTGGCAACTTTTCAAGCTTTCACTCTGGAGTAACTCAGCAGTGTTCCTCCATTAATTCAGTGTGTAATACAAAGTCAGTGACCTTGAACTCAAGGCCATAATGTTTGAAAATGCTGTTTGTTTTTTACCACATGTAATGACCAATAATATGAAATACAAGTCACAGACAAACTATTATCACTTTTATGATAAGTCAACGGACAACAATGTATCACAAGACAGCTCCCACGAGCCTTAGGCCTAGGGGGAGCTCAAACCTGGTACCGGACATATAAAGACACTGTTTATGACAACATGGATGGCATAACACTGGGAGTTACTGTTTATATACTACACAACATCTTACCACTGGTTGATGGCAATTTACTAGTTGGCAAACGACCTTTCACAGGAACACCTGGTTTCCATGGCAACATAAATGATTATAATGAGGTTACATATGTTAGTAATGTAAATATTATATGTTCATCAATTTCATTATTTCTAAAATTAGTAAGTATGATATAACGGATATTGTTTTAATAATGATAAAAGTGAGATGAAAAGAGTGTTGCTACACTCAAGAGAGAAAGACATGTTTGTCATGAAATGAGATATAAAAACGATGGTGGTATCGTCGCCTATAACTCATGCTTTCTATTTCATTCAACTAATGGCTGCACATACTATATTATATGCAGATAAGAGATTATTTCTATTCTATGAAGGCATGGATTGGCATGAAAGTTGTTGGTATATTTCATAACAGCTAATCTATAAACATTCTGTTTTTACATTCAACATTCAATATATATATAATATATAAAATGCACAGAAAAAAGTCCTAATCTGACCTGATGGACAGTAGAGTCCTATTGCAAAAGGGATAACCCTATTCTTATAGCAAAATTTATAGAAATTCAAAGTTTGACAGCAAATTTTGCAAAATATTAATTCAATTGTATGAAATTATTTCTATTTCACAGCAAATTGCACATATCTTCTTGACCTTATAACATATGGATGAAAACCGTCTATTCTTTATATATTCATAACTTATATTGGAATTGTTCTAACATTTCAAGATACTTATATGTGCCTTATTATCTAAGATTTAGACATTATCATACCAATGGCTTAATTAAATCAGTGAAAATTTCAAATTTCCATAATATCTATGCTTTTATAATAATTTCTAAACAGTCAAATAAATTTTATCAAACTTTTTGATACAGAAATATTTTTCATTCAATTAAAATTATAGGATGATTTTTTTTTTTAATTTCATCGCTATTGTTTTCTTAGCTTTTTATACGCCAATATTAGAACATTTGGTCATTTAAAATGCTATCCATTTCTGATCTATTTCAGTATAAAACATTGGATGATAATTTTACTATTCTTATTGTCAGATATATGGATGAATTATATAGATCTAGTCCAAGATAAAAAATCCAAAATATTTCACCTTTTGTAAACACTTCAAAATATGTTTTCTTTCCGACAACAACTCCTGTCTTTTCAAGACCGGGACCGGAAGCTGTAACTTTGCTAGCATCTCCTGCAGCGCCCTCTACGAGAACTTTCCACGGTGATTTATGAATCTCTTTCTCTGCCCATTTTATGATGACACGATACTCTCCTTCAAAGGTTGGCGTGTATGAGCAGGAATAAGTCTGGTTCCTATCTTTATTGAAGGTGCTAATGCACTGGAATATAAAAGTATTATTGGTGATTTAAACGATAACTTACTGGAACCAATAGTTATTAGCCTTTCAGTCTGCATGCAGTCTGACCAGGCTCAATACTGTTGTTAGCTGTTGATACTGAAAGCCCTTAATCTTGAATAGACAGTAAATATGGAACATTAGATAGAGGCTTGAAAATGTTGTATATAATATCAAGATAATACTTTGTAAAGACTTGTGAGACTCGTGCACTGATAGAAATCTTTTAACTGATATTTGATGCTTGTGCATTTGAAATATTAATACAATTACCATTTTAAACCTATAAAAGAGCATTTGAAATAAGAAAAACAAAATCAAAGACTGAGGATAGAAAGAGATAAGTATCAGGATATTTACTGGTGTTTGTTGTCCTTTAGGATCAAGAACTAAAAGTTCCAGTTCTCCTTTTCCAGCACTGAATGTTTCCACTGTGAACTTGGCAGGTGCACCAACATGGTTGCCTTTTGGCTCAAGACCTGGTCCATAGGCTCGTACTTTACCAGCATTGACACGGGGTCTGAGTGGTGCGCCAGGCTTCAACTTAGCCTTGGGGAACTGTGATAGGTAGGTCATCATACTGAGGTCATCAATCTTTGGGTTTGTAATTTCATCTGGCTTAATCAGCTGTAAATAAATAATATAGAATTGTTTATAATGAAGTTCTCATTACATTTGTACTTTTTTCAGATACAATTTCTTTTATAGAAATAAGGATAAATGGTTGAGAATGAGGTCCTTTTTTTGGACCTCATGAACCTTTTATCATATAAAAAACTAACAGAAAATAATCAAACAATGAGACAGAGTAAATATTCAAATATTTGCTACCATATTAGACAATTATGTATTTCTTTATTCTCTTACGAAAAAATTCTTTCCATCTGCAGTGTTAGAGACTTTTAAAACAATCAGTAAATGTTCTGCAAAAAAATTCCTCACAAATGATGCATTATAGTTTTCAATACTTATTTTCACGATTTCATTAAGAATGGGATAGCACAATGTATTGCTATAATTTGCTGAACAAAATATATTTTTTGCATTCTTATAATATCTTTTAAAACCACAATCATCATTTATTCAATTCACAAAAGTTATCAAGTAACAATTAGTTCTCCCTCTTACCCCACTTGCGGCTCCTTCTGCTAAATTATCAGAATCACTCATTTTTATTCCAAAATATTCACACTAAATCTAGACACCCCTTAATTTACTGTCAACATATCTTAACTTTACACGAATCCAACAATGCAAATGTGACCATGAAATATTTGATACCGTTCAAAAACATTTAAACTCCATTCATTAAACAAACAGATAAACAAGAAATATATTTTAAGATACACGATTATATACTCAATTATACAAATCTATTGATACTTTTTTTAAGATTGAGTTACGGCACGAATCGATCGATACCCTTTAAACTGTTTGACATCAAAATGACCGACAGTTGATTTATTGCTCGGGACAATCATTAACCATATTTATCATGTCAGCATAGATTAAAATTGTAAAATTCATATTAAAATGTAAACATCATAAACTAAACCTCTGATATCTTGTTTCAGTGGTTCTGATTTCCTTTCCATTGTATCATTAAGGAAAAACTTTATATTAACAAAAGGGAAAAAAATTCCATATCATCTACCGGTAAATAACAATATTTTAAAAAGATCAAGGGAGGTAACTTTTAATTTAACTTAAACAAGGCAAATCTGTTTCAATTATTTTGGACAGTTTTAGGAAACATCAAAACTATTTAAGGTAATATGCAGGTTTAACAGGTAATAAATACAACAATGTAGGTGGCTGGGACTGTACAAATTATTTCAGGCACAAGCTCATGATGGTGTAGGTAGGAATCAGAAAAAGAATTATATATCCCTGTAACCCTTAGTCTGCCCAGACAGGGACTGTTTCTACCCATGGAGCCAAAAATCAAAAGTGCAGAAGACAAAAAGGCTTCAAGTCGGGACCTCCAACCCCATCAACACAGAAGACTCTTCAATTAAAGTGGAAGATGGTAAATTATTTCTTAAATTTGAGAATGATAATACAGCTAATGCTTTAATTCATTAACATTTTTCATGGTATCAATTCAAATGAAAACATTTGGATCAAGTGTTGTAGAAAAGTGGGTGGGGTGTGGTATTTGTATAAAAACATGAATCTTGACATATCCCAACAGCAGCATTATAAACATGTTAACAGAGTGCTTCAATGTTTGCTTACTTTGTACAACAGTAAAGAGGACTTAATGCTATCATAAAACTTACAGGCATGTGAAACGATAAACATAGTACATTTACTTTACTATCTTTTTGTTATCTTCTAAGGGTATGTCATAAAATATAAATAAAACAACACTTCAAGAATAGATAGCAAAACTAAACAAATTCTTGTGCAGATAGTCATTTTTTTCTTCTTCCATGATTACAATTAAAGCAAATTCCACAATTTCTGAATTTCTGCCTATTCAGCTGCAGATAAGAAAAATATTGGCATTCAGTTTTTTTATTGCTATGGTAACAACCACAAAAAAAAGTGACAGTAGTTATCATAATGAAGTTGTTCTTAACTTCTTACAGACACCTATACCGATCATCACATAGCATTTTGTGTATTAATTTTGCAGACATACTCAATCTGTTAAGTTAATGCAGATCATGACTTCAATGCGAATGCATCATAACTTTATAATCATAAAGTGTAAGTTACGACAGTGTTCCAATAAATTTGCGAAAATTTTGATAACCTACAGCTGCTCAAGTATTTTATTTTTCATTTTCCTATTTTCTATGTAATAACAGCAAAGCATGTCAAAATAAACAAGCAAGGAAAAGAAATTACCCAAAATCATAGAAAAAAAATCTACAGGTATCTACACAAATGAAACTAAATGTCAGTGGTTTTTGAATGAAACTGAATGTCAGTGGTTTTCGAATGAGACTGAATGTCAGTGGTTTTCCTTGCATTATTTGTAAATTTGCTGAAGAAAAAACACCAGGCAAATAAATTGTATCTGATTGCATAATAGAAATCTTCAAGTACATATTTTTTCTCTTTTTTATTATCGAAAGTTTTCCTAAAAAGGGACAAATGGCTTGGTCCAGAATGAAAGATTGACAAATCCATTTAAAACAATCAGCTGGGTAAGAAAGAGTTAACATTTATTCAAAATTAAATAAGTCAATTTTAGAATGAAATCTGATGACTTCTCAAATTAAGCATTCCGACATTCAAACCTTTAATCTGACACAGTCATATAATGCACAGTTCCAAATAGAAAACAATACATCTCCATTATAAATTACATTTTTTTAGCTGTCAATCACACAAAGTACAGTTGAGACATTTTATGTATATGGGCAATTATCTCCCCTTTATCATGTAGAGACCATATCTAAGAATCTAGCTTTAGACAACAAAATATTTTGACTAGCACTTTGGCTAATGGAAATTTTCTTGACTTGACAAGAAAATATCATCTCTTTTTCATCAGAAAATCTTGATGTGATGCCGGAGTTTATAATATCTTATGTGTTGACAGGACATAGTTAACTTTATTTTAGCTATAGGTTAGACAAGGTGCTAACCAACAAGTATTTGGCAAGTACTGACGGAACTATAGAAGAATGCCAGAAACATGTACACACATATATATCTACATCACTTTGATAATCATAAGCTCTCCCAACATCCTCTTCTTTACATCATTGTCAAGAATGATTGGAATTACCTCTCCCTATCACAGCACATGCCAATAAAAAAAGGTTTTTGACAAGGTGAAGTTGGTACTAACACTTTTGATATCTAATCAAAGTTTGCTATTTAAAATTTACACATTTCGAAAGTTTTCCTAAAAAGGGACAAATGGCTTGGTCCAGAATGAAAGATTGACAAATCCATTTAAAACAATCAGCTGGGTAAGAGTTAACATTTATTCAAAATTAAATTAGTCAATTTTAGAATGAAATCTGATGACTTCTCAAATTAAGCATTCCGACATTCAAACCTTTAATCTGACACAGTCATATAATGCACAGTTTCAAATAGAAAACAATACATCTCCATTTTAAATTACAAGCTGTCAATCTATGGGCAATTATCTCTCCTTTATCATGTAGAGACCATATCTAAGAATCTAGCTTTAGACAACAAAATATTTTGACTAGCACTTTGGCTAATGGAAATTTTCTTCTTGACAAGAAAATATAATCTCATTTTCATCAGAAAATCTTGATGTGATGCCGGAGTTTATAATATCTTATGTGTTGACAGGACATAGTTAACTTTATTTTAGCTATAGGTTAGACAAGGTGCTAACCAACAAGTATTTGGCAAGTACTGACGGAACTATAGAAGAATGCCAGAAACATGTACACACATATATATCTACATCACTTTGATAATCATAAGCTCTCCCACATCCTCTTCTTTACATCATTGTCAAGAATGATTGGAATTACCTCTCCCTATCACAGCACATGCCAATAAAAAAAGGTTTTTGACAAGGTGAAGTTGGTACTAACACTTTGATATCTAATCGTTACAAGTGCAGTTACATGTGCAATATCAAAGGTGAGATGCATTAAATGCAAATATTTATGCTTCATTAATTCCATTTCTGAAATCCCAAGATGCTGAATCAGCTGTTTTGGTATTTTTCTTCATGCTTACAAAAAAAGAATGATTATAGATAATTAGATTGTGCTGGGTTTTTCACTACCAGTCACACAAAAACTATAGATGAAATCTGTTGAAGATGTCTGTATTTTATTTTAAGAATTTGAGGGGACTGGTTGGGATTGATACTAAATCTTCAAGCATCAAAAAGGCATATGGCTTGAACCACAAATACTTTTGTTTAGCTAGCTTTTCAAATGAAAGAAAGGGAGATTCTTAGAAGTTAGGGGCAACAGATAAGACATTAAGGCAGCTGTCCATAAACTACTTGGCTATACTGACTCCTGGCTGAAATACTTCGAAGTTTTACTTAACAGACTGATTTACCAAAATTCAAATGACCTTGATCTATATGCAAGGAATGACCTTGACTAATTTGCAAGGGAAGACCAATCTTGTATAACAGACATGCTTCAGAAACCATTCAAATGGAAGATGATGTACAGACTGATCATCTGTGCAAAGTGTCAGTGAATCAGTAGCAGATGGGGGGGGGGGGGAGCAGTCTGATGTCAGATATGCAAAGTCCACTGAACTGTGGTATGATATCCAAACATATATCTAAAAGAAGGTAAATTAACTCTGAAAGAAAACATAATGCATATCTCAACACTAATGCTGGTTTTTATTGTGTTGTGAGATAATTGCAGCAAGCAGCAGACAAGTTAATCAAGACAGACGCTTCATTACCTTGAACATTGTTTATCTCTACCTGCAGGATATCAAAGCAATATTCTACCTTATAAACATTCCTTTACACCACTGCTAGTACAGTCAAACTCTGTCATTAATAACCACATAATGACCAATAAATTCTTTTTGCATAACACAATGATTTTTCAAGGGCTGAATGGAACTTACACTATCTTCATGATATAAAGAGTGAAAGACATAAGTCCGCACTTATAGCAGCATTTAGCATAACAGTGAAACCC